CCCCCCCCCCCCCTATTTGTCTTCTCTGTTTTAATCTCTTTAAATATTTCCATTTTAATTGTACCATATGCTCACCCCTATATTCACTTTCTGCTCTTATTGACCTCTCTAATTGAATACAAAATTTAAAAGCAAAGTCAAAACTATACGACGTAGCTTACGTGGATCAAATCGGCCCATTTGCATCAATAGCCACTTTAAGGCCTGTATTGTAAAGTAACCATAATTTAAAGTTTTAGAGGGGGGAGTGCAAAAATAGCCATTTTGATTATTTAAAGAATAATCAAAATTTACTACAACAAAAAAAGAAAAGATTAAGTTTAACCGTCTCATAATCAATTTCATCAAATCTAAAGTCGAAATCATGGGTCAGAAGTTTTGAGTGCAGTTCAACTTCAGACCTTCAGGTTTAAGATGACAAGTTTTAGCTGCACACATTGTCCTGATGGTGTAGTGACCTTCAGGTCTAAATTTGGTCTGCTTCTGATGGTGTAGTAACGTGAATTTCTGTATCTTATCTTTCATATTACAGTCACTTTAACTTTTGAATCGTGAATTACCAATAAGCAAGTCAAAGTTATTCCAATATTAATAGTCAGTAGTAGTAGTGGTGGCAAAATGGTTCAAAGAAAACAGTTAACCACCCATATTATCCGTAAAAATAGCACGGTCTAGCCAGTTTTCGGACTGGTCATTCAAAAATAGCCAGCGTTTACCAAGTCAATGAAAAATAGCCACTATTTTGCTGCAACAGAGGCCGGCCCAGCATAATATACTGGAGTTCGGTGCACCTGTGTATGAACTTCTAGCATATTATGCTGGAACTCCAACACACGAAAAGTTCCAGCATAATATACTGGAGATTCGAGCACTTGTGTATGAACTTCCAGCATATTATACTGGACCGGTATACTTTGCTGGAACTCCAGTATATTATGCTGGAGTTCTAGTGTACTTATGCTGGAACTCCATCATATTATGCTGGAGTTCCAGCATAGTTATCCTAGAACTCCAGTATACTTATGCTGGAACTCATTGGATAGGGTCGCGCATTGCAGCGAAGTTATGTGGAGGTATGACCCTTCGGGTGAGATTCGTGTGTTCTGTTTCTACGATGTGTGACGGGTTCTCAACATTGTGTGTGGTGGTACTGGTGAGCTTGCGGTACAGCTCTTTCTTTGAGTCACTTTTCATGATTTGAGTACGTTCAGATTGTTGTTTATTGGTGCACGGATTTGCACGAGTTGTGGCTTTAGATCGTATTGATATGGCATGTCACCCGAGTAGTTGTGTTGGATTAGATGAGATCGTCGGGATCTAGGAGAAATACAATCGGATTCGGTTTCAGCATGTTGGAAGGATAATAGCGATGTTCGGCTCAGAAATTTGCTATGGTTCTTGCTAAAGGAGAAGTGGCTTCACGAATGGTTGATCTGAGGAGTGGTTATGACTTCCTATGTGTTTCATTTATCATTGGCAGTATATAGAAGTGTTGGAATGAGGCTTTATTTGATAAAAGGTTTATTATCGAAATTCGGATGTTTTGAGCAACTGCTGTGATTAGAAGTTATCGCTACAAGTGTTTGAGTTATGTGGTATGTCATGTAATTGCACCTGAGGTTGCAGGTATTGGGTTATTACAGCTTGTTCGGGCTTATTCGGAGTATAAATGTGAGATTCTAATCTTGTAGATGATTTCCGAAGTGGAAATGTGGTTCTAAGGTTTATGAGCTAGGTTGGATTGCAAAATTTCAGTTACATTGCGTTACCGGACCTATAAGAGATAGGGTGACGTGGGATCACCCCCAGGTATCTGCATGGTAAGGTTATACAACGACTTGTTGGCTTTTGGAACAACTATTGGCACGTTCGAGGACGAACATATGTTTAAGTGGGGGAGGATGTAACGACCCAACCGGTCGTTTTGAGCTTTTGCACTTCGCTCGCCAGTTCTCGAGCAAGACTAGCCCCGTGTGAGGTAAGATGACTTATGTAATTCGTCGGTTCTGGATTTCAGGTTAATCGGAATAGATATGGAAGGATGATTCTCAGCTTGAAGCTTAAAGTTTGAAAGATTTGACCAAGTTTTGACTTGTTGGCATATGACCTCGGATTGGAATTTTTATGATTTGGTTAGCTCCGTTAGGTGATTTGAGACTTAGGAGCGTGATCGGAATGTATTTTGGAGGTCCGGAGTAGATTTAGGCTTAAATTGGCGAAATTGGATTTTTGGCGTTTTCCGGTTGATAGGTGAGATCTTGATATAGGGGTCGGAATGGAATTCCGGAAGTTGCAGTAGCTCCGTTGTGTCATTTGGGATGTGTGGGCAAAATTTCAGGTCATCCGGTCGTGGTTTGGTATACTTTTTGATCAAAAGCGGAATTCGGAAGATTTTTGGAACCTTAGGCTTGAATCCGATGTGTTTTGGTTGATTTGACGTTGTTTGAGGTGTTTTGAAGATTGGTATAAGTTTGAATGGTAGTATAAGACTTGTTGGTGCTTTTGGTTGAGGTCCCGGGGGCCTCGGGGTGATTTCGGATGGTTGGCGGAAAGTTTGGAAGTTGGTTTTGGCAGCTGAAGATCTCCCATTGCTGTCATAACCGCACCTGCGGCTAGGGGACCGCAGGTGCGGTATCGCAGATGCGTGGTTGGAGCCGCAGATGCGGCCAAAGGCTTGGTGGAGTGAAACGGCAGATGCGGTATGTGAACCGCACCTGCGCGACCGCAGATGCGGAGAGAGGGTCGCAGGTGCGGGAGGCGGCTTAAGTGATGATCGCAGAAGCGGTTCATGGACCGCAGAAGTGCTATCAGGGCCGCAGATGCGGAATCCCTGGGCCAGAAGTATATAATGTTTCCTTCGCGAATTTTTGGCTAAGTACTCCATTTTTTAAGACGGGAAACGAGCTAGGGAAGTGAATTCAAGGGAAAATCGAGGTGAATCAGTTGGGTAAGTTCCCCAAGCTTCATTACTTGAGTTTATGATCATTTTTCCGTTGGTTAATCATGATATTAGTGGAAATTAAGGGTAAAAATTGAGGAAACTAGGGCTTGGAAACTTAGGCCTTTGATTGAGGATTTGAAGGACCAATTGTGGTCGGATTTCAGTACTTTTGATATGTATGAACTCGTGGGGAGATAAGGAATCTATTGATGCGAATTTTATCGAATTCCGAGACGTGGGCCCGGGGGTCGGGTTTTGGTAATTTCGAGAATTTCGTTGTTTTTCGATTGTTTTCGAGTGGGCTTTGTCCCCTTAGCATATTTTGATGGTTACGTTCTGATTGTGCCTAGATTTGGAGCATCCGGAGGCCGATTCGAGGGGCAAAGGCATCGCGAGCTAGAGTTTGGGCCGATTGAGGTAAGTAATGATTGTAAATACTGTTATGAGGGTATGAAACCCCGGATTTCACATCGTTGTGCTACCTTGAGGTGACACACGCGCTAGATGACGGGCGTGGGGCCGTGCACCGTGGGGAATTGGGACTTGGTCCATTCCGTACGACTATTAAGTCGCGTATTTACTTGGAAACTATTTGATATTGTTATATTTCGGAAAGTATTATTGTGTTTGGGGCGTGCCTGGGCCTTGTGGCGACTGTTTGAACCCTTAGGGGCTTTTATTACTGATTTCCTCACTGTTTTTGGTTTGATATTTACACTCAGTCTTGCTATGTTCTTACTGTTTTCATAACTCGGTTTTATTCACTCCTCTTGATTTCAAAAAATGATATTTTTAGCCGAGTACTTGTTTTACTGGCAGCCCGAGGGGCTTGAGTGAGTTCTGACTGAGTGAGGCCGAGGGCCTGTGTTGTGAGGATGTTATGGGATCGGGCTGCACGCCGCAGCATGTGGTACTGATTTGTGATATGTGAGAGGCCAAGGGCCTGATTTATTATGCCACGAGGTGGCTTGTGATTGATATGAGGCCGAGAGCCTGTTTGATTATGCCACGAGATGGCTTGATATTGCGCTTGGGCCGTAAGGAGCCCCTCCAGGAGTCTGTACACCCCCAGTGAGCGCGGGTACCCAGTGTGGTGACCCTGTTTATTATGTGAGGCCGAGGGCCGGATTGAATATGCCACGAGATGGCTTGTTATTGCGCTTTGGCCGTAAGGGGCCCCTCCCGGAGTCTGTACACCCCCAGTGAGCGCGGGTACCCAGTGTGTGTGTGATGAGGTGTAGCCCGAGGGGCTGTTGTTGTTTCACATTGGAGCCCGAGGGGCTGTTCTTGATCGATGTTGCCCGAGGGGCGGTTCTTGATTCATATTATGCCCGAGGAGCTGATTACGAGTGATTGCGAGGTAGCCCGAGGGGCTGGTTCTATTGATATTATGCCCGAGGGGCGGTTTATGGTACATGTTTGCCCGAGGGGCTGTTTACGTTTCTATCATTTTTACTCACTGATTTTATCACTCGTTTTGAAACTATTGAAAGTTGTTTTAAAAGGTTTTACTGAAACTGAGCTTGATTTACGAAGTAAATGATTTCTGTACTGTTTTGAAAATGTACTGTATTTGCTGTAGCGTTATGACGTGGCTTACGTGTTTTCTTACTGCTCAGCTTTCATTTACTTTTATTACTTACTGAGTTGGCGTACTCACATTACTCCCTGCACCTTGTGTGCAGATTCAGGTATTAATTTGAACCCGGTAACGGGTGTTGGTTGCTCAATGGCAGAGTCATCGGAGTTAGCGAGGTAGCTGCCCGGCGTTCGCAGCACTGCTTTTCTCCCTCTTTTCTTCCTTAGACTATATTTAGTACATTTTTAGACTCTTAGCTGTATTCAGACCTTAGTAGATGCTCGTGACTTGTGATACCCCGATGTCGGGCTGGGTTTTGTTTTCCGCAGTTGATATATCTTTCGCTTTATTTTGGAATTTATCATTATTAATGACTTGATTATGAATCATTATATCTGTTAATAATGACGTGCATATATGTATTTCATTAGCATGACGTGCATATATGTTTCATGCAAAAAGAAAAATCAGAGCAAGTAGTCCACTTGCATACACTGAAGGCTCAACGTCAAGATGACATATTTCACTTCTATCTTTTATGTTTTTGGCCAAAAAATTGCTTCGGTTAAACTAGAGAACGTCATGTGCACTAGCGTGCAGCTTGACGCAGGAACCTACTAAAAGGTTGAAAAGCAAAAGGCAAAAAAGGCAAAAAAAAGGGAGGGAGAGAGCGAGGGGGGCAGAATCACAAGTTACATCTTCTGAAGCATCTGGCCCCACCAACTTATCATCTGCAAATAAACAACATAATGACAATTCATTTTCATAGCATTGATGAAAACAGACAAAAGAAATGCGAGGGATTGAGTACTTCTTTAAGATTGAATTTATAGAGACGCAAAAGTAGTGTTTTTGGCCAAAAATGATAGGAAACAACAGGAAAGAAAACCTCTAAATGAATTTATTACAATGCCAAAACAAACCATAGTGGTACAAGTAAAGACATGCATATTGAGGACACTAAGATCAGAAATTAACAATTCTTTATTTTCTCTCCTAATCTACTCAAAAACACAACCTAATGTTCTTGTGTCGTTAAGAAGAAATGCCAACATCATAAATACAATGTTACCTTGATTATGTAAGTCAACTAATCACCAGAGACATAACTCTTGATTCTGTAAGTCAACTAATCACCGGAGACATAACTCTTTCCCTCATAGTACCTCCTCTCACTAGCTGCTTTTTTCTCATTCCGTTTCTGCAAATATACATCGTTATTAGATACACCACAAACATGTTTCAACTCAACCAAGCAAACAGGCCCAGATTAATATAGAAACTGGAAATTGCCGCAGTTCAACAAACATCCTAACAAATGGAGGGAAATGCATTATGGTTGAAGAAAAATATGATTCAATATTCAGCACCAAACTTGACACTCGCAGGAATTTAAACCTCATCAAGCATTAAACAGCTAGTTAGGACCACTAAGATCGAACAAGAAATTCAACCACTTTCTTCCTGAAGATATCTATATATGCACGGCTGGTGGTTTGGTCGATTTACTATATATCCGAGTCACATGAGGAAATAAGCGCATCTGGCATAGTGGTATCATAGTACCCTCCCACGGTGACCACTGACCAGGGTTCGATTCCTCGGATGCGCAGTCGCTGTTTTAGTCCTTTTCTTACAAGTAGTATTAGTAGCCCTCATGTCCCTTCATATTCTTAGATCCTTCTGTTTCTTCTCCTTCTTCTTCCTCCTCCTCTTCTTCTTCTTCTCACCTTTCTGAGCCGAGGGTCTATTGGAAACAGCCCCTCTACCTTCACTAGGTCGTGGTAAGGTCTGCGTAGACACTACCCTCCCCAGACCTTACCTGTAGGAATATACTGGGTTTGTTATTGGTGTCGAGTCACATGAGGAAAATTTTGATAACGTGGACGGCAATTCAATGAAGTGGGAGACTATTCTTCAGATGTGGAGTAAAAAATAGGGGAATACTGGGAAAGCAATAGTACTTTGAAGCATGATGCTAGAACTATACGAGGAGAGGGCAAAACCAAGAAGCAACCTGTGGAACAGACAATGCAAGTGGTGTAAGAGATCTGCCAACTCCTCAGAACCTTAAATAAGAGTGAAGGGTCAGCTCAATGTTGGTTTAGAATGGTGGAAATGAGTCTTGGGGTCAATATGAGGAGAGAACAAAAGGGATGATGCTGAAACAGCCAGGAGACAGCAAGAAGAATGCACACGTAGTGACAAGGAGAGTTCATATTGTAACAAAAAGCACAAAACCAGAAAGAGCACTAAGAGGACTAAGTAGGATGGCAAAACGTCCAGCTGAATCAAATTGATTGCTGTGGTATCATAAAAATGAGGGAATTTCAGGATAGATCTCGAGGGATTGATATTAATTTATGGTTAAGGTTACGGTCTTACTCTACAGTCTACATTATAGCATGGGCTGAACGTATGTTTTGTTTCATTATTTACTTATTAGAAAAATTCTGCTAACAGCTCAGAAGAACAAACAGATGGTTTTCAGAAACCCTCGTTCAAATAAATATAAAAGAAACTAAAAAGTACATATTGGAGGAGAAGTAACCTGGTATGCCTCATGATTTGACACAATTCTCCTTATTATTGTGCTCGTTGTAATATCTAAAGGACTATCCAATATTTTAAAAATGTCCATGCTAATTGGTACAGCATATGGGTTACCCTTCTCCTGCAAATTAAAGAATCATGATCAACAAACAAAAGGACCTTTTAACCTAAGATTCTCGTAAAAGACCACATATAACCATAGAGTACCTTCTGAAAATCATTATCCTCGGCTACTGTTCCATGAACAACTAAAGAGATATTGAAGGTAGTTATCTGCATCAGTGTCCAATTGTAGAAAAAGTCACTACACGATAAATGAGGAGTAACATGATTATACTCTATGAGATCAACTCAAGAGTGAGAGGGAAGCGTTAGCTTTCAAATACAGTTTAGAATAAAGCATCTAATTTCTTTATCTCCAAAAGGAACTCTCTGCTCACTAGAGATCTTATAGAAGCAAAGCAAATGAAGATTTCCAGTCAATACCAATAATTCCTGAAATTCCCTCTAATCAAACATGACTTGTGAAAGAATACATATAAAAATCAACAGCCAACAAACGTAATAAATTTCTTTTTGGGGGAAGAGATAAAGTGAGATTAACTGTTTCTTTTTATTTTCTGATAGGCGGAGTAAGTTTACCTATTATTAGGAAAATTACAATAAGGAGTATAATCTTAGCTCTTTTGTAACAAATGAAATTGCAAACAAAGTTACTTTTATGAGGAAAACGACTAAATACAAATTTCCCTACCAAAGGGAGAACTGAGCCCCAAAACTATAGGATTCTGGGCCTCCCTTACCATTTAAGCATGCACCCCATGTCGGTATTTTTTTTTATAACCGTGGTGTCCGGACCAGTTTGCACCTCGACTAATTCCACGAGATACCGGCCACCCCCCACTGGCACCAGGTACCAGATAACTCTATCCACTAAGGCTTGAATAGATGGGAAGAAATCACCTAAAATTTTTTGCCTCCACTGAAATTTGAGCCTGAGACCTCATGGTTCTCACCCACTTTATTGACCACTAGGCCATACCCTTGGGTGTCCCCATATCGGTAATATAAACTGTCCATATGAGGATATTTCTGAAAGTCAAAATTAAAAAGCTTAAGGCCGACATGTTTGGTTCTTCGAGCTGTTATATTTAGTAAAAATACAACCTGAGTTTAATCAGATATATTTCAGGAAACAGTAACTAAGAAGCTACAAGACAAAAGCCACCAATAAGTAGAAAACAGAGATAATTACATCAAAATACATATTGGGTGTCCTTACTTCAGCTTTTAGCGCATTCCTTAGTTTGTTACTTGCTTTAGCATATTCTGTATATTATGTGTTAATTGACAAACTCGAATTAATTTGTTGTTGTCTTTTGGAGCTCCCCTAGAGTCTAAAGGTTTCAAGTTGAGCAGGACTAAGACAGAATACTTAGAGTGCAAGTTCAACGACGTGACAAGAGGAGCGGATGTGTACGTGAGACTCGACTCACAAGCCATCCCCAAGAGAGGAAGTTTCAAATATCTTGGGTCAGTTATCCAAGGGAATGGGGAGATTGACAAGGATGTCACACACCATATGGGGGCGGGGTGGATGAAATGGGGGTTAGCATCTAGCGTCTTGTGTGACAAGAATGTGCCACCAAAACTAAAAGGTAAGTTTTACAAAGCGGTGGTTAGACAGACTATATTGTATGGAGCTGAGTGCTGGCCAATCAAGAACTCCCATGTCCAAAAGATGAACGTAGCTGAAGTGAGGATGTTGAGATGGATGTGCGTGCACACTAGGTTGGATAAGGTTAGGAATGAGGATATTCGGGCGACGGTGGGCGTGGCCTCCATGGACAAGATGCGAGAAGTGAGGCTTAGATGGTTCGGGCATGTGAAAAGGAGAAGCCTAGATGCCCCAGTTAGAAGGTATGAATGGTTGACTTTGGTGGGTACGGGAAGAGGTAGAGGGCGACCTAAAAAGTATTGGGGAGAGCTGACCAGGCAAAACATGGCACGACTTCAGCTTACTGAGGACATTGTTCTTGATAGGAGGGGGTGGAGGTCGAGAATTAGGGTAGGGGTAGCAGGTAGTCAGGCGTTTTTCTGATCCTTACCGGGTTGTATAGGGCTAGTCTAGTAGTATCTTGTTGTTGTTCCTAGATTGCTAGTATTAGGGCTATTTCTTACTATCTTCCGTTTCGGTTTTCTAGTATCTTGTCGTGGTTACTGCTTATTGCTATTGCTTTCTTCCATCTATTTTTTTCTAGTTCTTACATTGTTGTTATCATTTTTCTGGCTATTGTTGTTGATATTTAATTGTTTTCTATTCATTCTCTCGAGCCGGGGGTCTTTCATAAACAACCTCTCTACCTCCCCAGGATAGAGGTAAGGTCTGCGTACACACTACCCTTCCCAGATCCCACTTGTGGGATTTCACTGGGTTTTTTGTTGTTGTTGTTGTTGTTGTTGTTGTTGTCGTCTTTTGGAGCTCAAATCGTGGTTAGAAACTAATTTTGCAAGATTTGGGTGGTAAAAATCATATTAGAAAGGTAACCCGCCATTGTTAAACAAGCTTGAAGACGTGTGTTTGAATTTCAAATATGATTTTTGTGAGAAATTCCGAATGGATGTTATTCAGTTACGAACGAAAATTGCAACTGAAAATCGCATAAGGAGTTCGTCACTGTAGCTAACAATGTTTAGACCCTTTAAACATTGTTACACACTTTTATACAAGGTTGAAACATGTTTATACATTACTATACACTTTTATACAAGGTAGATACATCGCTTAAATAGGTGTAATAATATTGTATATGTTAGATGGTTATGTGTAAATAGTCCTAGTCTCATATGTAGTAGGAGTAGAATATGTCCTAATCCAATATGTAGTAGGAGTAGAAGATGTATTATATATATGGCTCATTGTATCATTGTCAATAAATAGATTTTTCTCCCGTACATTCTCACATGATATCAGAGCTTCAGTGAGAAAATTATCGTTGTGCGTCATTCCAGCGACATACGGGAAGAAAGATCTCATCGCAGTGCAATTTTCCGGCAACTTCGTCTTGTTCCCAGGGTTCATCACTGCTACAATGGTACTGTGCATATACCAGTACCACCACCAGATCCGAAATCCTTGTGCGACCAAGCCCCAGAAATTCCGGTCCCATCGGAACAGTAATGTCAGTCACCGTGCGTCTTTCCGGTTGACGACTCAATATTAATTTGCGTTATCTCCTCATCGGTAAGTGTTGTGCGAAACCAACACTACCATCTTGTTCTGAAAAGTCAGGCGACAAAACCCCAGTCAATCGCTCCGGCAGAAGGTCACTTGCGCGCCTCTACGCGCCGCCAAAACTAGGGTTCCGAAGAGCTACACTAACTTTTCTGGCTCGTGTGAGCCATACCGGCCACTTTTTGACAAAATTTCTTCAAGACAACTTACTCGTCCAGTGATTTCGAGCCTACCCATATAAATTACATCGAATTCTGACAGCTTTTATTTTTTCCGGCATGAACAGTGCACTTTTTCCGGCGTGAACAGTGATTTTAAGAAAAAAATTCTAGTGGTGTTTTAGAACCTATTTTGTAGTGTAGAATTCGGCTTGGTCTCACTATCTTCAAATTTTTCCAGCGAATTTTCGGCCAACTTATGTTTATCAGCAACCAATTGGTTTTGTTGCTCAAAGGGAGTCTAGTGGCCTTGTATGCCGAATGATCAGCTTGCAGATATTTTTAGCAAGTCCCTCATTGGTCCTCATATTAACTACATATGTAACAAGCTCGGTACATATGATTTGTATGCACCGGCTTGAGGGGGCGTGTTAGATAGTTATGTGTAAATAGTCCTAGTCCCATATGTAGTAGGAGTAGAATATGTCCTAGTCTCATACGTAGTGGGAGTAGAATATGTCCTAATCCCATATGTAGTAGGAGTAGAAGATGTATTATATATAGGGCTCATTGTATCATTGTCAATAAAAAGATTTTTCTCCCGTGCATTCTCACAGTATAATAACGTACGTTGCATAAAAAATATTGGCCATGCGGGTGCAAACTGAAAAATATAGCTACATGGGTGCAATGTATTGTGTTGGGCCGTATATCTCCCTAGAAAATGACATATCACCATCAGTGATTAAGTTATAATCTGGAAATGATTCCTAATATAGTAGCTATCATCAATCTGATTTCCATTAAAACTAAGAAAGCCATAAGTCATCTTGATTTATAAATAACATTCAGAAGGTCAAGGCAAGTATTGTGCTATTTCATTAATGTCAATTACTGTTTGGCTCCAAAGATGAGATATGTCATAGTAAAAATGTAGTGAATCCTTGCTATCATATAAGATTGTAGCATCCTTGCTCTTGGACCACCACCAATAATGAGATTGTAGGAGAACTGTGAAGTAGACGAGTAAAAATAGCAATAATAATGTTAAAAACAATTTTCTCAACAGTGTTTATATTAGTAGCGATTACCATATCTTTTGACACCTCCCATGGAGCACCAATAATCACTTCATCAGCGTAGCGGCAGGCCAAAACACTTAAGCTCCTTTCATGAAGATTCATAATTGGGCGGTGCGCACCTCTATTGGCACTGTAAAATACAATACGGAATGAATTATGAGTTCTTTGACCAAACTTGCAAAATAACTAAGCATATTTCGTTATGACAAACATAATCGATCTTGCAGCCAGCAAACATGCTAAGTATTAGAGCACATGCTGCTTTATCCACAACAACCCCAAGTACTGCCTATGGATTAACATAATTGATCAAGTATTTTCCAGCAACCAATGTATCCAGTGTCCCTATCTGAAAGTACATTTCTAGAGTTCTGATCAAAATGCCCCAAAAAAAATTAAATAAACACAATAATCCATCATATAGAAAGCAAATATGTACTCCAAATAGAGAATGGGCACTCTCTGCCCACTTCCCCAGCTTGTCTTCTATGCCTCTTCTTTTAGCTATATGCAGTTATTAAATTAGTCCTCTCTCTTTTTCCTTTCTGATTAAAAGAATTTTCAGCAAGAAAGAAAGGAATACAAATGATAGTGCCATAAAAGACATGTTTCCGGTTCCTCTAGAGATCAGCACTAAACACAATAATCCATCATATAGAAAGCAAATATGTACTCCAAATAGAGAATGGGCATTTATTAATTCAAGGTTCATGGTTCTTGGAATATGATTCCGTCAATCTCAACTACAACAGCTAACATGGCACTGCAGCATCTTCCAAAGAACTTCCTTCTTTTTTTAATACGCGATGCAACTAATAACTTTTGATTGCCTAATCAGACCTGAAATGGACAATTGCATATAAACCAATGTTCGCTTTCCTACTGACCTACTGACAGAATGCTTAAATTAATTGAAGGTGCGGAATTTTCTTCCTTATATTTGAGACGTGTTCAATTTTTTGCTGAGTAGAAGGTTTGTAGAAGGTTAGTAGGTAGTCGAGCGTTTTTATTTTTGGTAGCATTAGTGTTAGTATGGTATCCTTCTTATTCATAGATTGCTATTACTACATATCGTTGATTGCTATCTTTCGCTTCGGTTTTCTTAATATCTTACTATTGTTACTACTTGTTGTCACAGCTTTTCATTTTCTCTTTAGCCCAAGGTCTATAGGAAACAACATCTCTGCCTTCCCAAGGTAAGGTCTGCGTATACACTACCTCCCGGACCCCACTTGTGGGAATTCACTGGGTCTTTTGTTGTTGGTGGTGTCAATTTTCTGCAGAAAGTGCTTCTGATAGGGAATATGGAAAACCCTAGCCTTATTTAACACACTACTGGAAATAAATAAATAAAATGTTCTTTTGCTAACTAATATAACTTTCATAGGATATGATTCACACATAGCAGGCAGTAGTCCCATCGTCAACCATATTTTTCCCTCTAACATATTAAGCAAATATCATATTATAGGGAACTGAATTTTTTTGCAAATGCACATATCCAGAGCCAGCTTTCATGAATATAATATTACTAACCTATCAAGAAAGCACAGATTGTTATCCTAATGATAGTCCCTTTCAAAAAATAAAACCAAACATCGGATAGTAATTTTGCCCGTCTAATGTCCTTAAACTGAAAACCAAACCTTCCATAAATAAGGAAGAACTCGTGAATTTACTCACACATCCTCCCAAAATATCCTCTCCTTACTAGCAACTTCTTTTAGAGAACCAAGTAAGAGCCTGTTTGGCCAAGCTTCTGGGAGGTCAAAAGTACTTTTTTCCCCTAAAAAAAGTACTTCTTAAAAAATTTAAGTTGTTTGGCCAAGACAGAGAAGTACTTTTTGCCAGCAGCAGAAGCAGTTTTTCTGCTTTTGAGAAGAAGCAGAAAATTCTAGCTTCTTCCAAAAAGCAGAAGCAGAAGATTAATTATTCAAGACAAAACTATCCTCACTATATATCTATATTTTCCAATTATCCCTTATTGATTTAAGGATTTTTTTCATTTTTGTTTTTAGTTTTTACCATTCTTTTAAATTTAAATAAATCACATACATGAATCATATTGTAACTTTCTAAATTCTTTATTGACTTTTCTTGTTTTTGATTTTTTTATTGCATAATATCTTGTACTTTCCAAATCATCTTCTTCTTTTTCCACACTAAAGCAAATTATCTACATCCTTCTTTGGATTATCAATTCTCTTCTTACAAGTATTCATTTATAATTTCTTCTCTTATAGGCTACTAATTCCCGAATCTTTAAAACAGTTCAAATCTAATTTATGAAAATTACCTACAAATAGGTAATAAATTTATAAGAGTATCTCATAATCTATATCTATATATTAGTAAATTTTCATTTTTGTTTTTAGTTTTTACCATTCTTTTAAATTTAAATAAATCACATACATGAATCATATTGTAACTTTCTAACTTATTTATTGACTTTTCTTGTTTTTGATTTTTTCTTTGTATAATATCTTGTACTTTCCAAATCATCTTCTTCTTTTTCCACACTAAAGCAAATTATGTACGTCCTTCTTTGGATTATCAATTCTCTTCTTACAAGTATTCATTTATAATTTCTTCTCTTATAGGCTACTAATTCCCGAATCTTTAAAACAGTTCAAATCTAATTTGTGAAAATTACCTACAAATAGGTAATAAATTTATAAGAGTATCTCATAATCTATATCTATATATTAGTAAAAGAAGAAGAAGAAGAAGAAAAACCCTCCACATTAAGCCAAGTGGCAGCCTCACAACAGACCACTTGGCAATTTAGGACAAAGTTGGTTAGTTAGGTTAGGTAATAATTTTATTTTTTTGAATTTAAATTTTGATAAATAAATAAATAATGCATTATGTGTTGTCAATAATTAGCTACTCTTTTTGAATTTGAATTTAAACATACTTCACTATTTTTTTTTTATGAAAACAATAATTTTATATATATTTAAAATTATTTCTATGTTATGCTCAATTCCATCTTTCAAGTTTGACACTCAGAATCATCTTGTTACAGCCACCATAGCTATACAAAATTTCATCCGACGACATTCTTCTACCGATAAGGAATTCAACTATTATCCTAATGAAGACACTACTGCATAGGTTGTGGAAGGAGATGAGTCCTCTGGTATTTCTTTAGAAATGCAAGGCAAGGCTTCTACTAATATGGAGGCGTTGTGTGATAGAATTAGAGATGAAATTGTTGAGAAATATTATCATGTGCAGTGTTTTGTATAGCGAGAGGCGACAAAAAGCGACGCGCGCCAGGTAGTAATGAGGGACAAAAAAACAGGAGGCTTGGGAGTTAGGAATCTGAGGTTACACAACAAGAGTCTTTTGATTAAATGGTTGTGGAGGTATTGTAATGAAGATGGTAAGCTCTGGAAAAGGTTGGTGGATGCAAAATATGGGAAGAAAGAAGAGTGGAGGCCTAACCTAGTGTTAGGATCCACAAAAGGAAGTGTCTGGGGAAGCATCTGCCAGTTGTGGGAAGATTTTCACAGCTATACAAGGTTGGAAGTGGGTAATGGGTGTAGAATAAAGTTTTGGACTGATATATGGTTGGGAAGTGAATGTTTGAGCTCCAAGTTTCCAATGTTATTCAGTTGCTCAACTAACAAAAAGGGAACTGTTGCAGAATTTTACTCTACTACTGGTTGGCAAAATAATTGCAGAAGAGGTCTAAATGATTGGGAGATGGATGACATATGTCAGTTATTACGGCAATTGGATGTTGTTGCTGTGGAAGAAAACAAGAGGGATTCGTTGATTTGGATTGCAAGTAGGGATAAGAAGTTCTCAGTCAAGAGTTGTTACAATTTACTACAACAGCAGATAGGACATTGGGAATCTGATTGGCCATGGAAGATACTCTGGAAGACTAAAGCACCTGTAAAGGTGGCATGTTTTGGGTGGATTGCTACTATGGGAGCCTGTTTGACCCAAGATAACCTGCAGAAAAGAGGCTTTGCACTAAGTAATAGATGTTATCTATGTAAAAGAGACCAGGAAACTACAAATCATCTTCTTTTGCATTGTGAAATCTCAAGGCAGTGTTGGGATCTTTTCTTGAATATCTGTGGAGTATCCTGGGTAATGCCCCACAATGTTAGGAGTTTGCTGGAGAGCTGGCAGAGTCAAAGAATAGCTAAAAGATAGAAGCAATTTTGGAAAACCATTCCTGTATGCATCTTTTGGACTTTATGGCTGGAAAGAAACAAGCGATGCTTTGAAGGACAAGGAAGACATATCTCTAGAATTAAGAGCAATTGTCTGCATAATTTGTATTTCTGGTGTAAGAGCAGTATTTTGGAGAATGTAGATCAATATTTAGACTTTATTGAGATGCTTGGAAAGTTACTGTAACAGGCTATTCTGGAGCCTTCTTTCTTGTAATTTTGTGTACCATCTTGGTACTTATTTATGAAATCTTTACCTTATCAAAAAAAAAAAAGCGACGCGCGCCTCCTTTACTGAGGCGAGAGGCGAGAAGCGAAGCGCTCGCCTTTTTGAAGTGAAGCGCCAATTAATGCAAAAAAATAAAATATCAAATTTGCATATAAATAACCAAAAACTCAAATTTGCATATAATTAAGTTAATATGCAATTAATTGTATGCTAAAACTGGAAAATGCTGGTAAAACAAAAAACTGAGCAATAAAAGGTGCAAATCAATTGAGCAAAAAACTCCAGAAACAGCCAGAAATCAGTTGCAAAAAGATGGAAATCAGCTGCTGCCGGAAAAAGAGTAAGAAAGAAAGAAGAAGAAAATAGAAGAATAACAAGAAGAAAAAAAAAACCAGAAGAAAAGAGCAGTTCGCTGCCGGAGATGCTGCCGGAAAATTAAGACAGCCGGAAAAAGAAAAGAAAAGAAAAGAAAGAAGAAGAAAACTGGTCAAAGAAGAAAGGAGAAGAAGAAGGAGAACACTACCTGGTGTTTGCTGTGTTTGTGGGTGAAGAGGAAACCAAACCCTAACCTGCGTTTGCTGTGCGAATAGAAGAAGAAACTCTGTTTTAAATTTCTTTTTTTTTCAAAAAGCGTCGCAATAGGTCGCCTCTCAGCGCTTCTCGCCTTTCATGGAGAAGCGCACGCCTTTTCTAAAACGCAACGCAACAGACAAAATTAGCAACCCAGCCTCGCTTCGCATCGCCACTCGCTATTAGCGACGTAGCGCTCGCTATTTACAACACTGATCATGTGTGAGTGACTTTGCTTATTATTTCATGGTGGATTATCAATATATATTAATTGGTGGAATAGACTTCTAATTCATACTAAATGATGTATTTTGATTACTCAAATCATCATGTAAACAATAAGTAATTATCTAGATAATATTATATGCTTTGTTATAACTATATATGTTATATTGATTTAAATTTTTAATATGTATGTTTACTTTTTATTTTAATTAAATAAAATATAAAATAATAAAAGTCTCCTACGTTAAATATTTAAGTTCATTTTTCTCTTTAAAATAATTATAATACCATGGTACTATCCTTTTTGGTAATTTGACACTTAAAAGTACTTTTTAGAAAGATCGGCCAAACAAATTTGTTTTTCACATGTTGCAAAAAGCACTTCTTAAATGAATTAGCCAAACACAAACTGTTTTTTTCCAAAAGTACTTTTGAATAAAGCACTTCTGAAAAAAGTACTTTTCAAAATAAGCAGTTTTTGGCAGCTTGGCCAAATGGGCTCTAAATACCAATCTGGGTGGAGAAGACTAGCATACGGTATTACTTATTAGATTGGAGGCAGTTACAGTTCATATGGAAGGATACAAGCCAAGAGATAGGTGGTATTTGTTCAAACTGAAAACGAAAATTAATGAGCAATCATTTCAAGACTTGATAATTTGTGGGATAATGATTTGTAAATGCAAAAACTAAAGATCGAGAGAGGAAACCAAGAATAATAAGGCTAATAACAAATGTCCACATCATCATGTATAATACGTGCATTTTTCTGATAGTCCAGAAGTTATGCACGTTAAGCATCAACTGCGACAAAATAAGCCAAGAGGTAACGAAATAGCACCTCACTACCAACCTCTGGCTAACGGAGCCATGATCTGCATGTTTGCAGACCACTTTCACATACTATAAAGGTTAAGAAAGATAAAAAGAGAACTTGTACAGCACATACTAGAACAATCAAGAAAACCACATTTAAAACTAATGTTGTTAAGGTTTTATCATCCTGAGGAAGCGTCCAAATACAAAAAATTTAGTAGGTGAGGATTGTAGGATAAGGAAAGCGGTTCCAATGGATTATCCGATATTAGAGCACAGAAGCACAATTTAGGGACTCATACCTTACAGTTTGATCAGTATGAATGCCAACAAGTAGAAAGTCTCCAAGTCCTCGAGCAAGCCTTAGTATCTAAAGATAACCACAAAAGTGAGAAATGAATCTACACTGATGCATGCATTATGTTGAAGAAAAAATTAAGTAAATAAAAGTGTGTTTACTTTAACAGCTTAAACTTTTAGATAAGATGGTCACACAATTCAGCATGGTATCAAAGCAGACAAAGATCCAAAATTCGATCTCACCGCTAAATTTCTACGTGTTTGGCTCATCAAAAAGAATCAAGCCCGCACGTGAGGGGCGTGTTGCAGGCATAATTAAGTAAAATAAAAGTAAGCGCTCTGTCTTTAACATCTTAAGCTTCACATTAGACATACACAAAAAAGACTAATAAGCAGGAATAAGAAATACGACAAGGGAAAACAAGATGCAGCTTTTTGTGAAAAGTTTTTTTATGATCATGAAAAAACCTATTCAAAGATGATGTTTTTATAAAGTTTTTCAAAAAATCTCCGAAGGACTTTCTCAAAAAGTTGTCCATTGAAGAAAAGTTCTACTTTCACCCAGAAACACTTAAAATCTTCAAAAAACTACAACAGTCCAAACACATTTCTTTTTGCATAAAACTGTCCAAACACGTTTCTTTTTGCATTAACTTTTTCTCCAGAAGTTCTTTCAAAAAAGATTTTCCAAAAGTTGTCCAAGCGGCTCCGAAGAAAGTTAAGATTGAGATACTCGGCAAAAGGTGGGAATTCCCACATATTTGCAGCAATGGTCTTTTACATATTAGATGAATCAGAACAGTTGCAACACTTGTGCTGAGATCAATGGAAAAAATGTCTAAAAGCACAAGCTATTGGGTAAGAACATATTTATTCCTTTGATCTTCAAGAGAATCTCTTCTCTCGCAGTCATTTTCTTTTTCCACGAAAAACATGAAAATCGTGACATCTATGAACTATGATACCATGTTGAGTGTTGTGGATCACTTCAACCATAAGCTAAAGTTATTAAAGGAAACAACATTTGTTTACTTTTTTATATGATTCTTTAAAATACAAGCATCCTTATTTTTGTAGGTTCTAAGCCAGATTACTTACCTCTACATGTCCAGCATGAAAGAGATCAAAAGCACCATCAATATAAACTATGCGAGCACCAGGTCCAGCTCCCTACACAAACCGCTCGACAACATTATAAGCAACAAATGTACTTCATAGCAGCAACATAGAACCCAAAAAAAAAAAGAAAGAAAAAAAAAAGAACAGACAACAGCAAGATGTGTTGAAAGGACAACAAGTTTTCCTAAAAGATCCATAAAGTAAATGTACGACAGATAATGCACTGATGGTTAAATCATAATTTAAATCTATTCAAAAATTTGCCATATTTTCCCTCATTAGACTGAATTTTGCATCCGTTTGTAATGTTTAAAGGCTTAATTTCGTGAATTTGTGCTGTTAGAAGCTAACAATTGGAGTGTGATGAATATGCAAGCTTTGGCATCAAATTAGAACAAAATGAAGCCCAGTGACAGAGGCAAAAATGGAAAAAGATGCAAAGAAATAAGACAAGATGTCAAAACGAAGCGACAGAAACAAACGCACAAAACCAATTCACAGCGTGGCATGTTGAAGGTGGCCTGACACGCCTGGGCTGTCCAGGTGATTTTTCATTTAGGGTCATTTCATAATTTTCCTTCCTTTGATGTAAATTATAAATAGTGGGCTTGCTTCAGCAGGTTTATATCAGACGTTTGAGAACCTTGGAAGCTACTCAGTGGAGAATTAGAGGTTTTCACAGTGTCTTTTCTTCTCTCTCTTTGTTTCTTCTTGATTTTGTTGTTTTGTTCTTTTGATAAAATTGCGTTGTCTCTATGGTAAGAGTGGCTAAACACCTTGTTCTAGGTTATGGGGATATTGACATGAACATAGTGGTTTGAAACTTAATTTCAAAAAACTGCTTTTGCTTTCATGGGTTATTTATTCAACCTCGTTCGTTTGATGGGATGATTGCTAATTGAATTCTACTTACGGATCCTAAAAACTTGAAAAAGAGATACGGTTGCTGCATTGAATATTGTAAGTTCATGAACCTATGCAGTAGGGGCTTGATTCATGGGTAAGAAATTATACTTGCTTGCCTTACATAACTTATGAATGCAGGAAACTATAATGTGTTTCACAGAAATATAGTGACAATGTTAATTTGAGTAGACGAATAAGAATTAAGAAGATTATTCTGAGCAAAGAGACGGTAGGTTAATAGCCCTTGCTAATCAATTTATTTGAGATAGAATCATAACGGGATTGTCAAGGGAACCCATAGCTCTAGGCTTTTTTACTATCAAATTTCTAAGATGTTTGAGCACTTCAGTTTTTTATTTTCTTCTTTAATTTAGTTTAATCATCATTTCTTCAAATCAAACTACTTCTTTCTCGATAATTAGGTTTAGCCTGATCGTCAGCTAATTAAATAAAATCCTCGTGGGAACTTTGATTTTACTCATCCTATGATACTTGTCTAATCGTGTATGCTTGTGGTGCATTGGTAGCTCATATTAATCACCCTATCTTGAAGGAGTCAAGGTATAAGCTAGCTGGATCAAAAGAAAACTACTAATGCAATACATGAGCATCAACATTTATCAGATTATAAAGCCTTCATTGATTCTAAAATTTGGCAATCAATTAAACCACTCTCTTATACTGAACACAACCAATGGGAAGAAGAACAACTTTGCTCAACTAATTCATGGCTGAAAAAGTTAAACATGCTAGTAGAGCATGAGAACAACCTCAACAGGAAACAAGACCTATACTAAACTCAATTAGTGTTCTAGGTAGTAGACAAACAGCAGACTTTGTTTTAGTTGCTAACAAGAGGTGGAGAAAGTTGTTACCTTGAAATTAGATCCCACAAAATATATTAAAGGTCAACTAACAAATTGGAATTTAGAGAAAGTAACTTATCCGCTAATTGACAAGTCTCTTTTCCATTCCCAGACAACCGACATGGAAAAAGGGATAGAATGTTTCAACCTAGCAAAGTAAAATACTAAAATCTCAAAGTTTATGGATAATAAAGTTGCAGCATTATAAAACTCAAGTTTTAGCTTTCTCCAATGTGAGGGAGAATGATGAGGAATGAAAGTGGATGAGAAAGAGAACTTCCTAAGTTATTTTTCTGGACCAAAATCGGAATCATGTTTTAGTGGGTTTACATTCAGGTATTGGAATTATTTTACTTATTCAAGATGCAATTTAAGTCTAGTTTATACCAAGCATACAAAGTCCAGGATATATGGGAAAATAAAGCCCCATACATGTTAAGGGTTTTCTAGGTTAGTAGAAAATGAGGCATGTTTAACCTGAAGCAATATCCAGAAAAGGGGCCTACAACATGTGTGACAGATGCAGCCTATGCTGGGAGCCATTAAGAAACAGAAATCACCTCTTCCTTTATTGCAGAATCACTAGCCAGATCTCCCATTTCAAAAAAAGAATCACTAGCCAGATCTGGGATTTGTTACTCAACACACTGGGAAACATATGGGCCATGTTAAAGGCTACTCTACAACTTCTACAAGGGTGGTGCAGAAATGATTTGCATAGGGCTTCTTCTGACATCGAGTGTACAATTCCTGCTGTATAGTTTGGTGGTTATTTGAAGGAAGAATACCAGAACTTTCTAAAGCAAGAAAGGCAAAGTGATTAATCTTTATGACCAGGAGCTTCTTTTCTTTTTTCTTTCTTTTACTTTTTTTGCTTAGGTGTTGGTGCAACATGGCCTGCTCTAAATGTAGATGAGTATTCATGACATTGCTGATTTTCTTAGCACCTTAGAAACTTGTAATGTTACCACATTTTGGTTGTAACTGATTGGCAGCATTTCCTTTTTGCTGGTTTTCATCATAAAAGTTACACTTTACCTCTCCGAAAGAAGTCCAGGATATTTGGAGTTTAGTACCTTGTATTAAACTCAAGAATCAGTATATCTTAACCTTTGTTATTTAGTTGTTTTTCTATCTTGTGTTTTTTCCCGACAATGGTGGTCTCGGGGCTAACTTGCAAACATCGAGGCTAATCCATCGGGTACCCACTACCTCCCACCATCACAGGAACACTCTGCCCACCAATACTTAGACAGTGGAGAGAAATCGCCTATTATTTTTGCCTCCACCGGGATTTGAAACCTATTCTCCCAGAATCCATTCCAACTTTGTTGTCCACTAGGCCACATCTTGGGGGCCTCTAGTAGTCGGAATAGGATAAGAGTTGTTCCAATCGTTTGTATGTTTTTTTCTCAATTAACTGGTGGACAATCAATAACTTCAGCACTACTTTGAAGAGACATCATATAATCTTACCTAGGTGGCTTATTCCTAAGGAATTCTAGGTAGCTTCCTAGACCTTGCCTTCTTTCTTTTTCTTTTGTTATAATCGTTAATTCCTAGACCTTGCCCTGTTTCTTGCCCTTTTTTTGTTTGGGGGGGGGGGGGGGGGGTAATTGTTCAGTTTATTTCTTCATCACCACCACAAAGTTCTCCTTCCATCAAGCAATTCCTCAACTGAAAAAGAAAGAAAAAACAGCCACTAACAGCCTAACTTTTACTGCTCTCAGATACTATTCACAACCTCAGAACCCCATGAGTTCTCCCTTTTATTTTTCTTCCCTAAACCTACTCAGCACCCTTACATAAATTACTTCAAAGCCTCCCAGTTTTGAGAGCCTTTTAGCAATGAAACATAAGAAAGTCAGAAAACATTAGTACTCTTTCACTGCTCAATTGTCTAGTGATCTCCTCCCTTGTCCCAGATCACCCACGAGGCGAGATGAGATCTTAAACTTGTGACAGTTTAGTGTTTACAATCTGAGAGTCTCTTTTGCTTTTCCTACACAGATATTAACTCAAAACTCTTCTTCTTTCTTTCTTTTTTTCTTTTTTTGCAAGGAAAACTTAAAAGAGTCCACACAATGATGACAATCACTTTATGAAGAATTCATCAGGCAACTAGCAAACCTTAAGAGTTTTGCTTCTTGCTCTGTGAGCAATAAATTTACCACTAGAGAAAGTTAAAATGCAAGAGGCTCACCTTTGAATTGGAAAATTGTACAATTCTACGAGACGTAGGAAGAAAATGAGATACGCGTGTTTCGCTCCTAGCACCACCATCTTCAGATTTTTGGCTGTGTCCATGGCTAAATTGTCTCTGCAAGGATGCATGACTGGGGGAGTCACCAGTGGACCTCTCTCTCACACAAAGAAGCATTCGACCTGCATGGCATATTTATGAAACATGCACAAACAATAAGTAGCACCTATAAGCTCTTGCAATTCAATAATTGAAGTTTTAGCTTTTGAATATTAACAAATGCCAAAACATCTGTACATCAGTACACTAGCTAGTAGAATAGCAAATGATAGGATGCTGCCCAGCAGCCCAAGAAACAGTAAAGTAGCTTTCCACCACACACAAATGCCCAAATAAGTTTTGAAAGAGGAGGTTTTCACTGAAAATGAATCAAGAGAACATACATACCGACTATATCAGTGCTTGAAACTCCTTCTGTACGCTTGATCTGCTTATAGCGACCAACCTTCTTAGCAAGGGCATAAGCATCAGTACCATCGGGAAGAAGACAAGGGTCATCCCCATGAATGATATAGTCTATGTTATACTCATCAAATAGTTTCCTCATAAAATCTTCAGTAATAGCATAGGGGGCATCAGAGATGACTTCATCCACCCACTTAACAGCACCGACCATAATCATCCTAGGAAAAATCAACAAGAACGAAACTGAGTTAATTCTTTTGATTAAAGTCTATCCAAGTAACAGATAAAACAATAATAATAATCACAGACAAGCACAGTGAAATGAGATCTAATGGTCATGATTTTATTTGTTAAATGCCTTCTATTCTCTCAAGGACAATGGTATCAGACAAAAAGCAAAATGAAGGAATGAAGCCATCAGTTGATTAGGAAACTTCTGGTGGAAATGGTGTTCAGTGCTGAGATAACTGTTCTTTTAAAAGGTAACTACCCAACCGTTTGCCACAATAATCAAATCACGATATCCTGAAAGCCAAACTCAGGGCCGGCTCTAATGTTGTACTTAATAAGGCTTGTGCCTTAGGCCCCCAAGTTTGGAGGCCCCATTTTTAAGAAATAATAGGTTTATAGGTATTTAAAAAAATAATATTTAGTACTTTTAGTACAAAAGTAGACGTCCACATATAAAAGGAAGACATTTTTTTTAGCTATGTAAATAAAGCAATTGTTTGGCTTACTTAAAATGGGTAGTATGAATAGTTAACGTGTGAACTGGAATTGATTTGACAAGAAAATAGTACAAGTAGAAGATATTACTCTAATCGATATACCCAATCAAATAAAAAAATTCTTTTCCAAATGCTTATATTGCTTATAGAATAATATTAACACTTATCTCAGCGAAAGAAGTATTTCAAAATTAAAATTGATAAAATCTTAGCTAAGATCAATAATGTCTCAAGAAAGATTAAATGGGCTGGCTATATTAGTTGAAAAGGAATTATTTGAAAAAATTAATTATAAAAATACTATTAACAACTTTGCATCTTAAAAATCAAAAGAATAGACTTCAAAAAAAAAAAAAATATTATAACCTTATTAAAAAAAAATTAGGCCTCATATTATACTTTGGCTTTAGGCCACACATGTGCTTGAGCCGCCCTTGGCCAAACTTCACCTTGATCTGAGGTCTCCTCTTAGGTAGTTGAACACTGTATAGAGCCTTGTTTCTGTAACCCAAAAAACCCATCCTCACCCAAAAAACACTCTATAGAGCCTTGTTTCTGTAACCCAAAAAACCCATCCTCACCCAAAAAAACACTCTATAGAGCCTTGTTTCTGTAACCCAGAAAACCCATCCTCACCAGTTTCCCACTGTAGGACATGTCTATACAGTGACCCAAAATAAAGAAGATTTCCCAGGAAAAATACCAGTTATGCTTTAAGGTTTTGGAAGAAAGATTCGCCTCCTAGTAGAGCTTTAAGAATTAGCTTACCAATCAATCAAAGAGAAAAAATAGAGAGTAACACTCAAGCATAGCAATCAAACTGTAAGGACTGGGATTGGAAATGGGAAAGAACTAAATAAATGAAGTGGTGCGACGTCCTTTGTACAGTAATTAGAGGGATAATTAACAGTAATTTGAATTAGCAGGAGGTTAGCTATAAAGTAGAGACAATTGAGATTGATTACAATGGACGGCTAAGATGCAAATTGATGGAGGTATAAATACTTCTGAATTCGGTGTGGGGTGCATGGAATATTGCTGGTATGTTTCTGTAATCGTGCTCTCTCATACTCTCTCTCTTCTCTTTCCCCAATTTCTCAATCTGATCTCTCTTCTTCTCTTCTTCCTAATCCGTTCTAATTCTTCCCTTCTCACTCAATTCTCCTTCTTATCATGAAACTAGTTACGAGATTAGCTCCAATTTGACTATCCTTCAGGTATGGGTTACTCGAGGTGTGGATTTCAGCTGAAGAACTGAGTTGATTCGAAGAAGTCTTGTTTAAGCTTTGTTGTTGCATTCTATCCTAGTTCTGTTATTATCAGTATCCAGTTGTGGACAATATTCAGTGGATTGTTGAAGTATTCCAGTTGTTTCGAGTTGTAATTTCTTGTTTAGTTTGAAGAGTTAATAGTAAACTTGCCTAGCATTCCTTGAGATCATTAAAAAAACTAAAGCATACTACCTCAGCAAATGGCTTTTATCAGTTCAAAGATACAGAATTCGCATAAAATGAAGTGCTCATTGGGAATAATAAATTCGTCAAAAAATATGACAGAGCAACTGATCTAAATAAGACGGATAATGCGGATGGAATGAAATACTGAACACGCATAATATATTTTTGAATGATAGGAAAAAATGTGTGAATCCGAAAATGTAAGAGAGCGCAGAAAACACCAAACCTCTCGTGAAGAGGAGTGACAGGCGGGCCTTTATTGGCAATGATTTCAGCATCGCTAACTACGCCAACGACTAATTGGTCGCCGAGAGCCCGAGCTTGTCGGAGAGCATTGCAATGGCCGTAATGCATCATATCAAAGCATCCATCCATATATACCCGTATAGGTCTCTTCTTCTTCTTCTTCGGCAAAGCAAATCGCAATCCCAACACCGATAACCCTAGCACCACCCCTCCCACCAACCACGTTGCAACGAACCGCGAACTCTGTTGCACGTTCTCCGAATGTCCCGCTTCTGAACCCATTGTTCCACTGCTCCAAATTATAGTCCCTAATTCAGCAAAAAACCTACTAACATTCCTAATTTCTACTACTGATAAGGCTAATGAATACGTTAGTTTTTCTCAGATGAATATGCTATTCCCAGATGCTTGTCTCCAGATTTCTATCTGTGTTCCGTTCTAGACTATAGCGTAAAAGTTCAAAAATGTCCTCTTTTTTTCCGTTTATATATCTCCGTCTCCATCTCCTTTAGAATGGTTCCCACTCAAAACAGTGCGTCTTAGAACTTGACCGGACACTTGTACAGCGGTCACACAAACGTAGCGTAACAGCTACTTCACCCATCGTTGGTTAATTGCATGACCAACCTTATAATTCATTGAAATTACGGAAAAGGTCCAAATATTTGGAAGTCATTAATACTGGGGTGGTAATTTGAGCCCAAACCCATCCAATCTGCCCAACCCGCGCGCAGAGATTAATGAGTTGGGCTACAAACATTTTAGCTCATGGGTCAATTTGGGTTGAGCTCAAGTTAACCCGCTATTTTTTATAGTCCATTCTGACCCATTAAACAGCCCAAATACAACCCATGAAACTCATTCAAAACAAAAGGATCTCAACACAACTTATCTAGAAATTTATTTAGGTGCCCCAATTTCACTTCTTTTTTTTTTTTTTTGTATTTTCAATTTTCTATACTTTTGTTTTTCTGCACCACCCCCTATTCCCCCCACCCCACCCACACACACATACACACAAAGACTCCCTTCAAAAAAAATTACTTTTTTTTTTTGCATTTTCAATTTTCTCTTTTTTATTTTTCTACACCACCCACCCTACCCCAACACCCCACACCCACCCCATGCGAAAACCCCCTCAAAAAAATTTTACTTTTTTTATTTTTATTTTCAATTTTCTGTATTTTTATTTTTCTGCACCACCCACCCTACCCCAACCCCCTCCCCCTCCCCCCTCTCCGCGCAAACAATTTACTTTTTTTTTGTATTTTCAATTTTCTCTTTTCTGTTTTTTCGTTTTTTTCTTCACCACCCACCCCAACCCCCCAAACTGATTTAGAGGGGTAGGCATTCCCGTCCGCCCTTACACAGGGCCCCTCCAAGAAAAAAGAAATGCGGTACCGGCTGTGGTCACACGCTGGACACAAATTCGTCATTCTTATGCTTTAGCTTAAACGCTTAAACGGGACAAACCCACCCCCACCCGCAAAATATTTTTCAACTTACACCTTTTACGGTAAAAAGCTTTTTTATGCAAGATGAGCATGGTTTTAAAACATTGATCAAATTGGGTGGGTTGGGTTATGACCCATTGTTTAGCCCATCTTAACCCAGCCCATGTTAGCCCAAGTACACTTTGGGCTGGGTTGGGCATTGATCCATTTATTGACCTAATCCATCTTGACACGCCCAATTTCAACCCAGCCCGCCCATTTGTCACCCCTAATTAATAATTTGGCACAAACATGTTCATGTCGCTCAATACTTGGTCCAACTATGCCCTTATTTAAAACGCACCGTATGGAGGGCATCTTTGGTCCGCGCGCATATTTTTAAGGTATATTTGGCTCATTAAAACTCTTAAGCTTTTGTGTTATTGAGTTATTTTGTTTTATTCATGACAATGTAATGAAAGTTTGTAATGATAAAATCGTCTCAAATCGATTGATTTCCTTGTGTGAATCTTAAGTACGAATAAAGAGAAGCAAAGTTTAGAAAAACTTAAACTATTTTATATAGGTTCTCTTCAAACAAAATGGTTTAGGTTTTTTTACACTTTGTTTCTATCTGTTCGTATTTAAGATTTACATAATGAAAGCAATTGATTTGAGGGTGATTTTATAATTATAAACATCTATTACATTGCCATAAACCAAACAAGATAACCCAATAACATAAAAGGTTTATGATCTTTAATGTGCCAAATATGCTGTCAAGTGTGTGCATGGTACAATATATATCATCCAAATAGGGTCGTTTAAAATAAAGACATATTTGGAGCAAGTATAAAATGCTAGCGGTATGTTTGTGTCAAAGTATTAATGATGAGTAAATCCGCTCAAGTTTGCATAGTACAATAGCATATTTAAATTTTTTTTTTCTTGAAATTGAGAAATGGACCGTCTACTTTTAAATGTGCACATGAACGTTTGGCTTAATATACAATTTGACATTATTATTTGTGCAGTTTTATAAAACTAGCATTCTAACATCATAATTTCACACTCTCGTCTCCCTTTAAACAGCCAACTCTCTTCTTTTTTTGCAAAAAAAATCACTACAACACTACTTCATTCTTGCAATTTTATAAAACTAACATTCTAATATCATAATTTCACATTTTCTCTCCCTTTAAACACCCAACTATCATTTCCTTTTGCAAAAAATCACTATAACACTACCTTCATTCTTGAACGACCCAACTTCTCCCTTATTGTTACGGAAGATCGTGGGTTAACTAGCACACAATCTCACACAAAGCAAATAGAGAAGAAAAACCAACAGAAGGATTTAACGAAGTTCGGCTAAGCCTAATCCTCGGGTCAGAAGCAGAGAGAGTTTTCACTATGAATGAGAAGAAAAACACAATACAATCTTTCGAATCCCCAACTACAACCCTTATATATAGATCTCAAATAGTCTCAAACTTATAAGAGAAAGGTTTCCCAATTTGACAAGGACAATCTTTCCTAAATCTATTAAGACAATGGGTATTCCCAAACCTATAGGGATTATAGGTCTTCTAAAAATACAAGAAAATAATTCAAGCCACAAAATAACAAATCTTCCCTTTGGCTTAAATTCTCTTCATCAACAGGAACAATGTCTCTCTACCTTTCTCCAGCCCTCTCAAGGACTTTACCCATTGCCGCACACATCAACCAAGTCTAGGCAACACCTAAACTTCTTAAGAGACTCAATCTCTTTAGCCGTAGCACTAATCCGTCGATTTGGTTTTGTACTCGGAATAGCTTCTGGATAGCTATAACACTCAAATACATTAATGGCCTCTTCAACTGCTAAAGCAAATCCCACAGGATTCGTATATCCAAGAAAATTATCGTCAGCTACATTTGCAAACCTTTATGGTGGGTTGATCACTCTCTTCTCTCTGCATGTTGCAATGATATATGGTTGTTGTTGTGCATGTGCATAAACATTATCATCCTAATCAATATTTTGCACTTCCTCACTTCTCTAATTTAGAACTATTGGGCTGAGCTAGTGGAGATATTCAATTTCCAGCTCTATGCAGTCACTGACACCACGATCTATTTCGTATATTGGCTCTCCCTCTGACTGTCCAGTGAGGTAGATTCATTGAATGTTACACACCTACTGATAATTAGCCTTGGAGTCTTTTGAATAGTGCACCACAACCTATAACCTTTCACTCCAGTTGCATACTCTAAAAATATGCACTTCCCCTCGGCTCAAGTTTTCCATCACTTGTATGAGCATAAGCATGGCAACCAAATATCCTTCAATTTGAATAATATGCACTCAACCAAATTGTGGATGGAGATCTGTTGACCAAATAACAAGCTGTATTGATTGCTTCAGCCAAAAAATCCTTGCTAATACATGAGTGTGAAAGCATGCTTCGTGCCCTATCACATGAGCATAAGCAGGACAACCAAATATCCTTCAATTTGAATAATCTGCACTCAACCAAATTGTGGATGGAGATCTGCTGACCAAATAACAAGTTGTATTGATTGCTTCAGCCGAAAAATCCTTGCTAATACATGAGTTTGAAAGAATGTTTCGTGCCCTATCACAAAGCGTTATGTTCATACGTTCTGCAACACCATTCCGTTGGGATGTTCTGACACAAGTGCGGTGTCTCACTATGTCCTCTTTACTGCAGAAATTATCGAACTCATAATTGCAAAATTCCAACCTATTATCAATACGAAGGCGCTTAATTTTCTTTTCGTCTGCATCACAACCATCGTCTTCCATTTAACAAATGTCAGAAATACCTTATCTTTTATTTTCAGAAAATACACTCACATCATCCTTGAGTAATCATCAATCAAAGTCATAAAATACCTGGCACCACTCTTGGAGGAAACTCTGTTTGGACCCCACAAGTCTAAAAGTATATAATCTAACTTGTCTTTGGTCTTGTGCTCGAACTTCTTGCTGAACTTTACCCTAGTCTTTTTACCAAAAATACAATGCTCACAAAAATTCAAAAATTAATTTTTGTACCCATTCAGCAAATTCTGCTTACTCAACAAGGACAATCACTTATCACTCGTATAACCAAGTCGCAAGTGCCACAATTGAGAGTAGATAACTTTTCCCAGAAGCTACAACAGCTTCCCTTTCAACTATATTGGCCTGAAGATGATACAATTTAGAATGCAGTTTACCCTTCATGAGTACCATGGAGCCTTTACGCACTTTAAGTATTCCATTATCGGTGTGAAGCTTATACCCTTGATCATCCAAAGTCGAAAGAGAAATCAAATTTCTCTTTATCCGATGAACATGCCAACACTAAATGTTTCTAATAATTACATTGAACATTCTCAAATCTGATGTTACTAATCCCCTCCAATGGTAATGGATTATTATCTCCCATGTAGACAATCCCATTGATCTGCTTGTAAGTTTCAAACCAATTATCGTGTGGACACATGTGGAAAGTATCACCAGAATCAATAACCCAGGAGTTTTGCCCATGACTAGAACTCACAGCACAGACTGCCCCTACATAGTCACTATCATCAGAATTATTGCCAGCGTCAACAGTATTTGCCGAATTATCTATTTTCTGCTTCCCCCATTTCTCTTTTAGCTTAGAAAAATCTCCCTTGTAGTGACCTTGCTCCCCGCACTCATAACAGTTTTGCTTCCTTGCTCTAGAACTCGATCTAGCAGTTGACTTTTTCCTGTTAAAGTCCTTTTGTTGTGTTCTTCCTCTACTCACAAGACCCTCGCCCTCAATTCTGCTGCATGGAAAGATCTTTTTCAACTCTTTAGATTTCAATACATTACTAACATCTTCTAGTGAAATGTTGTCTTTCCCATATAGCAACGTATCAGCAAAAGTATCATAAGACGATGGTAAAGAATACAACACAATCAAGGCCTGATCCTCACTCTCAATTTTGATATCAACGTTCTTCAGGTCCATTATAATTGAATTAAACTCATCAAGTGAGTTTTAACAGGTGTACCTTTATTCATACGGGGATTGTATCACCTTTTTTTCAAGTAGAGGTGGGTTGTTAGCGATTTCTTAGAATATAAATCTTCCAACTTCTTCCATGCCATTGTTGTAGAAGTTTCTTCAGCAATTTCCC